ATGGGGTGTTTGAGGAACTGACAGCCAGCCCCAGGGGGTGCAGTATGAGAGGGAGGGAGTAGAGGGGAAGACTCAGAGCATGTGGACCCCTGTAGGTGGGGTGAGAAGTTTGATGCTATTTGAAAAAGTAACTAGTACCTGTTGGAGGCTTCTAAGAGTGACATGATCTAATTTATATTTTTGAGATTGTTCTGGCAATCTGGATGAAGAGTAGACATTAGGGACGGGGCAGGGAGGCCAGTGGAGCAGGCTTCCCAGGGGAGGGAAAGCTAAGCCCACAAGGACCTGGTGGGCAGGAGGAGAGGAGGTGCTGGGGGGCAGGTATTTCCTCTTCAAATCCCTCCAATTCCCTTGGGGCAGATGGACCATTTCAGGTGGAGGAATCCTAGTCTGAGGGGGGGCACTTCTGGTTCCCCCTCTGCCCAGCTCCTAAAGGCTGTGCAGGGAGCACACATTCTCCTGCTCACGAGCAGACTGAAAGGCCTTCAGCCCTAACTCTTCAAAGCTGAGCCAACCCTGGGGAGCTTCAGGCCAGGTCTCCTCATGCAGAGTGACACTTTGATTTCCTTCCAGTTTGCCTCCAGCCCAGTGGCATGCCGGCGCCCTGAGTGAGGACAGGTGGGCTTTCTTCCTTCCAGGGGCTCGGTGGTTTCTCCCGCCTGCTGACGTGAGCCCCCCTCTTCTGCTCATTGAGGCTGAGATGCCGGCCCCGCTGCTCCCCGACACTTGGTTGTGTCCTAAGTCACCAGAGCCCCCTGCAAAGAGAATCCCCAGACCGGTGCACCCACACTGGCTTTCCAGGCATGTGCTTCTGAGCTTGGAGTCGAGCGAAAACACAGCCTGCACACCCCCCCTACCCGATTCCCCCCGCATTCCTGCTGCGTCTTCCCCAGACACAACCTCTTTGCCCAGAGAAGTTGGCTCCTTTCTCTTCCCCGCTGAGCAAGACTTGGCTGGGCCCGGCCCCCTCCTGGCTGCCTGTCTTGTTCACTCTGGACAGGCCGTTTGCCCAGACGTCTGCTCCAGACCCCAAGAGGATCCTCTGTGGGGTCCTCCTGCTGGGGAGGCTGCTGGGCTGACGATCCTGAGCCCCAGCTGTGGCCAAGCACTGGGGGCCCGTGATCGGTGGGTTCACAGATCCCGCGTTTCTTGAGCATCTATTATGTGCCAGGGGCTATAGTGCTGGGGACAATGTGGAGAGGGAAACGGGCTGGCCGGGCCCCTGGGGAGCTCACAGCCTGGCAGGGGGGAGAGAGAATCCACAGGCAGACAAGGTGTCGGAGAGTGGGAGGTAGGAGGAGAGAGGGGCAGGCATGGGGGCAGTCTCCTGAGCAGGACCTGGAGGATGGGAAGCGACTGTCCCGGGTGAGGCCAGAGGGAGGGACGAAGCGTGGCTGGAGCTGAGATGGGGAAGAGGAGCTGCAGATAGAGGCAGGTCCCCAAGCAGCGGAGCTGAGTCTTTTGTCTCTCTCAAGCTCCTGAGGAGCATCAGGCCCTGCCTGCTGGTCGGGAGGCCTGAGGGCAGGGCGGTGTGTGGATGGCAGCAGACCCTGGCAGCCCAGGTGGCCCTCGCCTGGCTCTGGCAAACTTCGTGGCCCCAGAAGGCTCCTGGGAGACAGGAAGTCCTCATGCAGCTGCAATTTGCAGCTGACCCGTGAATAACATGGGGGCTAGGGGTGTCTTCCCCCGAAATAAACTATACACTCCTCTTTTTCAACTAACACAAATTAAATTTGCCCACAATCCTACCATCTTTCTGGAATCACATGAATCTCACCTCATCCATCCAGTCCCAGTCCCGAGGATGTAACCATACGAGTAACTGGGGAGCAAGTCCCCCAAGTTAAGCTGACGTTTATAGACCCGTAAAGTGACCGTGTGCTCTACCTACAGGCCTGCGACACTTAGACAGGCTTTTTAACACAATAGGGACATGTTTCCAGGTCAGAAAATCACATCTTCCTTCTTCAAAAGGCAGCTTGGTACTCCGCACCTGCTGTGGCCGGTCGCCCGCGCCAAGCCTGGGGGGCCGCACTCCAGCCCGCCCCCGGCGAGGAATGTTTTCCATGGCCATGTCATTCATTTGCAACGAGAGGTGTGAGCGCCACGATGAAACGGGAAACCGATACCTACCGGGACGCTCAGGTCACGGTGCCAGCTGTTCGCTTTCCTAGAGTCTGGTCTACGTGAGCCACCATCACGGCAGCACAGACTATGGGCTGGGCGTCTCGCTAAGCCTTTTGCATTTAATCTCTGAGTTCTGGCCTCAGCTCTTTGAGTCAGTCCATCCATCACTTACCTAAGAGAAACCCGAGGCGCAGAGAGGTGAAGCTAGCTCTCAAAGGCCGCACAGCCAGTCAGTGCGGAAGGCAGAGCGAGCCGGGACAGTGACACCAGTCTGGGAGAGCCGTGCCGGCATTACTGTGAATCCACTGGTGTGAGGAGCTCCTTCCAGAGGATGGGGTAGCGGGCTCTTCTGGGGAGACCCTAAGGCCCCCATGCTGGGGGTGTGGGGCAAAAGGCTGGAAGGGGAGCTCCGGAAAATGGACCGGGGGGTGTTGTGTAAAGCACGAACCTGCAGATAGACTTGGAATCAGAGAACATGTATTAATTTCTGATTTAAGATGCTTTTTTTAAATATGAACACATAGTGGAATATAAGCCACAAGAAATGGACAAAGCAACATTTAAACACGCTGTTGCCATGATAATGCTCATCACGTGTGTCCATCATTATGCTCTGCCATGCCTCTGCTGCCGTCTCTAACCCTGGGGATAACCCTTTGAAGTGTCGGTCCTGTGATTAGCCCCCATTTTGGGTAAGAGGCGGAGAGTGAAGTGTCTGATCCAAGCCCCCACAGCTGCATTAGGTGCAGGGTAGATTTGGAGCTGCGTGTGTTGGCTCAGAGCTTGGGGTGTGGGGGAGTACAGCGGTGAGTACCGTGGCGACGCGTTGAAGGGGTGTTGGCTGTGACCACAGAACATGCCCAGGAGCTGAGGGTGACAGTGAGCATGCTGCTGGGGCCTAACAGAGTGCCCAGGCTCCCCCCGATCCCCTCTGGCTGCTTCTCCTCACCCGGGGCTGCCTGTGGAGACAGCTGGGCTGTGGCATGGGTTGGGGGGGCGCTGGCTGACTGCATAGGGCGTCCAGAGGGGCTGCTGCCTGGCCCGGGCACAATGTCCTGGTCACGTTGTTTGCTCTGCTGGTGCCCAGGGGGGTGTGGGAAGGAAGGGAGGGTATCTAAGTGAGGTGTGTAGGAGGGGCCTGGTGAGTTGACCAGTGTCCACACAGATGAGGCGGTGGGGCTGGTGGCTGCCTCCAGGGCTTCGCGGTTCTGATTCTGAAGAAGGGAGAAGCGCAGGTCCTTGGAGCCGGGGCCTGTGGTCTGGGAGGAGGGTCCTGAGCTTGGCAGGCAGAGTGGGATGCTGAGAGGCCCCCGGCGGTGGCTTTTCTGGCTAAAATGCAGTGCAGTCGCCAGAAGGACCTCAGGTACGGCCCCGTCGAGGGACGTGCTGCAGACACCTGACGGGTCCTGCTCTCCAAGGCCCGCTGGGCCCTCGCATCCCTTGCCTGTCCTTCCTCAGCAACTCCCGAGCGCTGGCTGGCAGCAGGTTCTGGCCGTCTTTGGAGCCGCTGACACCGTCCATGCTCAGACACAAGATGTCTCCTGGGCACAGACAAGACGTCTCTGGTGGTGGAGGTGACTTGGTCCCTTTGCAGGGATCTAGGGGTGAGAATCCCCTTTCCTTTTTCCCTTTCAGCACAAACTGAAGTTTTCCTTAAGTCACTTCAGGAACAGGCCTAAGAGAACTGCAAGATCAGGATGCCCTTGTTCCCGAGGCGCACAGGCTCCCCGCCAGTGCTTTGTGAGGTCATCTGATTGCATCAGTTTGGGTAGCAGGCGCAAGCCTGCTTATTAATTATTTTTGGGAAAATACGTAGAAAGTTCTTTAGGTGACTCTTCAGACCCAGGGCTCTGTGGTTCAAATCCACCTCTGTGTCAAAGAAGATGCTGATAGCTGTGCTTTAAAGGGGCCTGGGGGCTCTTTGGCATGTGCCACAGACTCTAGACCATCTAGAGAGCCACGCTGCACGCAAGCAGATGAAAGGCTCTGAGAAGTCCTGCAGTGGAGAAACCATTTGACACTGGCTTAGCGTTTTCCCAAAGCTTGTTCGCTTGTAGAATCTGTTTCGCCTTTTAATAAACCCATTTAGTATTCTTCAGCGCCACTGTGTCACAAAATACCCTGGAAACACTTGTGGAAATGATTTTGCTTTAGTTGAAAACCGACCAACGGCCCCTGTCAAAATCTCTTATTTGAAAATGTGGAGTTTTGTTTGGCCCCAAAGTGGGGACCTAGCGCCGTGCTCCAGGGATGAGGATTTTACTGCTGAGTAAGACCTCTCCCTCGTGGCTGCACAGTCTGACCCCCAGGCTGTCTGTTGGCTGAAAGGCAGAGGGGGGACTCCTGTGTTCCCCCTCCCGGGACTCACAGGCCAGGACGTGGTCTGAGACTCTTAGGGCAGAATCCACCAGCCACCTGTGCGTGCAGACAAGCCAGAAGGCTTGCCTGGTGCTGCCAGGGACCTGTAGCAGGCCCCGGTGAGGTCTTGGCACATCTGGGACATTTTGAAAATTGCCTTTGGTCGAACACAGTATATAATAAAGTATAACATTTATCAGTGTTACTTGTGTTTTTAAAGAAAGGGGACCATGCATAGGGAAAGAAAGGTAATGGTAGTGGGATGATGGGCAGCGTCAATTTTTCCCTTATTTTCTATTGTTTCCCTTATTTCCATTGTTCACATGCATTCCCTTTGGAAAACGAAGCATACACATGTGGCTAAGTCGACAGGCCCGCGTGCACACACAACACAGACAACGCACACGCCTTGAGGGGATCGCACATAAACCCAGGGGAGGATCAGGTGCTGGGTTTTTGCCTTACATCTTAGGTTTCTGATGGTTTCTTCACAGTTGTTCCTCTTACTTTTCCAGATGGGCAGCAAATCTGGGAGATGGAAGCCATGGTGGATAAAGACAAGAGCCAGCCTGTAAGCAGGGGCGAGACGACCGGGCTCCCTGTCACGCGTCCCCGCCTCCCTCGTCTCTCTCTCCTCCTCCCTTTCTCCCTTCCCTTGTCAAAGTCCCAGTGCTTTGGACCTACCAGGCACTCAGTAGGTATCGAATGGATCAACAAATTAAGCATTTGTTGCGTCCCACACCCCCTGATTTGTAATGGCGAATAGACTCGGATAGAGCAAGTGGCCGTTCTCTCTCGGCTACAACTGAAAAGTCAGGTCTGTTTAAGTCCCTTAAGGAGAATTGGGGACATGTCACCACCCCTGTGTGATGGGCTCAATATGTTGAGGCCCTTGGGAGGGATCTGGACACGGTTACAGTTGAATTAATGGCAAAACCTCCCTTCCAGAACATGCTTTTTGTGGAGATCCCTGAATATCGGAATAAGCATATCCGTGCATCCGTGAAAGTGAACTTTTACGTCATCAATGGGAAGAGAAAACGAAGCCAGCCTCAGCACTTTACCTACCACCCAGGTAAGGGGTCTCCCTGAAGGTGTCTCATGTGGACAGGCCACAGGGCGTGTGGGTGAGGACCTTGGGCAGGTGACTCCACCTCTTTGTGCCTCAGTTTCCTCATCTGTCCAATGGCATCTCTCTTGCAAGCAGTCAGAAATCCATGCACGTGAAGTTCTCAGCTCAGTGTAAACTCCTAACAAGCCATTGTTAATGCCAGTAGCTATTATTGTTAGTAATATTTTCCCTTCGGAGGTGGACTAGGAGAGGCATGTGTGGATTTGTTTAGCAGGAGGCTGCAAAGCTGAGGACCCCTGTGTTTGTCTGAGATTTGCTCGTGATGGGGTAGGAAGTGCTTATGCTCTGAGACCGGTGGAATTGTTAGTTGACCCCACAGCGGGTAGTCACCCTGCGGCCAAATAGAGTTCCTGGGTCTCATTTCCACAAAGCACTACAGTCCCAGAAAGGGGGACAAGGCCATTTTCCATTTATTCATCTGCATGCGAGACACTGGGCTGGGCTGGGAGACACAGGAGCCAGCAAAATAAATGCAAATCCCTGCCCTCCTGGAGCTAGTGTTCACTAGAGAGGATTCCAATCAGAGATTATACGGATATTATTGATTGGTTGGGTTATGATAAAAGCTGCAGGAATAGGCTATACATGCCCCAAGTCTGAGGCAGACCTGGCGGCCACCTCCCCTTTATTGGAAAGACCTGAATCCAAGGTCGTCACCCAGGGTCAACTTTCTGACCTAAGACAATTGCACGGGAGCCACTGGCCCAAGCCCTTAGATGCGGAGCCCGACTATTCGCTGGGTCCAGCCGGTGCAGACTCCCCAGGCCGCTGTCCGGGGACCGGCCGTGCACGTCAGCAGCTCACTGAGCGCCCTGTCCCCTGTGTGCCTCTCTCCTCGCAGTCCCAGCCATCAAGACAGAGCCCACCGACGAATACGACCCCACCCTGATCTGCAGCCCCGCCCACGGGGGCCTGGGCAGCCAGCCTTACTACCCACAGCACCCAATGGTGGCCGAGTCCCCCTCCTGCCTCGTGGCTACCATGGCTCCTTGCCAGCAGTTCCGCTCGGGGCTCTCGTCCCCCGACGCCCGCTACCAGCAGCAGAACCCCGCGGCTGTGCTCTACCAGCGGAGCAAGAGCCTGAGCCCCAGCCTGCTGGGCTACCAGCAGCCAGCCCTCATGGCTGCCCCCCTGCCCATCGGGGACACCCACCGCTCCGTGCTGGTGCACACGGGCTCCCAGGGCCAGAGCCCGGCCCTGCTGCACTCCTCGCCGGCCGCCCAGCAGGCCTCGCCGGTCATCCACTACTCGCCCACCAGCCAGCAGCTGCGCTGCGGGGGCCACCAGGAGTTCCAGCACATCATGTACTGCGAGAACTTCGCGCCCGGCTCGGCCAGGCCCGGCCCACCCCCCGTCACGCAAGGCCAGAGGCTGAGCCCCGGGTCCTACCCCACGGTCATCCAGCAGCAGAATGCCACGAGCCAAAGAGCCGCCAAAAACGGACCCCCGGTCAGTGACCAAAAGGAAGTATTGCCCACGGGAGTGACAGTCAAACAGGAGCAGGACCTGGACCAGACCTACTTGGATGATGGTGAGAGGCTCTTTTTTCTCCTTGCCTGTGAGGGGGGGTGCCCCAAAGCTCCCCTGCCATTCGCTGTATGGCCTGGGTCTGTGCCTTTTCTGCTTTGGGCCTCAGTGTCCCCCTGAGGGTCAAGTAAGATGACCTTTCAGGCCGCACCCCGCTCTGGGCAGGGATCATCGCCAGTGCAGTGGGGGGCAGAGGGGAGAGTTTTAGGTGCCCCTGCAGAAGCGGCAGTGGCCACCTCGGGCCCTAGGGGTGGCTGCTGGGTCATGAACTGGCCGGTTTAACTGCTCCCACTTTTTCCACTTGCCAAATTTAGACCAAGGAGAGGAAACAGAAAGGAAGGAAAGCTGCCCTTTTATTCCTGCAGAGAAAAAGAATCCCAGTTGATAGCTGCTTTGTGTTTTGGGGAGGTGGGGGTGGGAAGGCGAGAGCTCGGTGAACAGAGACCACAGCGAAGGACGCATGAATGGGCGCTTGTGGGCAGGCTGCAGGCCGGCTCCGTGTGCTGGGGAACAGAGAGGCACATTGACGGGAGGACATGGGGGGCTTCCGTTGTGGGGAGCCCAGCTGACGGGGTGGCTGGGCCAAGCGAGGACGAGAGCTGGCTTTGTGTGAGTCTGTAGGTGCCCGGCTCGCTGGCGGGGCCCAGCTGGAGGGCTGCGGCCCGGAGAGGCTGTGTCAGCGGCTCTGGTTCTGTTGCGGGAGGAAGGGCCAGTGGTGCTGGCAGGGCTCACCTGGGACCGGCCAGGTGCAGCTGAAGGAAGGAGCGGGAGGCAGGCAGGGCCGCCTGCCCAAAAAGGAAAACAGGTAGCTTGGGTTTCTCACTGGGAGAGCGGAAACCTCTCCGGCTGGCGCCTGGCCACGGCCCAGCCTCTGGTTCTGCAGGCGGGAGCACTGGATAATCCCTGAACCTCAATTATTTAGGAAAATTTACTCAGGAGCCCAGCCAAGGCTTAGGAAGTTAAGACAGAAAGCTTCAAAATGGCCTCAGTAGCTATCAGAGAGCCCAGGGACTGGACACCAGCAGCGCAGGAACCCCCGGCGCTGGCGCAGGCATACGGCTTGTGCTTCCCACCGAGGTGACCATCCAGGTGCTCTGGGGCTCTGTGACTTCTAGGGGTTCCCACATCCTCTAGTAAAACTGTTGTCCCCCAACACTTCAAGCAGAGACCTTGGGGCCAGCCCACACAGGGTCAGATTTCCCCACGCGCCTTTTGGGTCTGACTTTAGGGTATTGCTGTGCTGTTTAATAATTGAGCTGTGTCGTTCTGAATAATCAGCGGGGGTTGACTTGGGGTCACTCTGTTGGACTGTAAAGGGGAGACCCATGTGAAATCCTTGAGCAACTGACATCCAACTGGGTCAGGCGACGTTTTGGTGCTTTCATTTTAAAGGGGGTTATCAGGTGGAAAGTCAACATGCAGAATGCCTGATTCCAGCAGATACATGGAAAGTGGCTGTAACAGGACCCTCCGTGTGCGCACCTGGGGGTGGATCCGGGTCAGGGCACCTCATAAATAAGTGATCCCCTGAATGGGGACAAGTGGCTCTCCTGCCACCGTGTCTGGTGTTGCTTTAGTCTCAGGGCAAGAAATGCACGGACCCTCCCACACTGTCACCCCATGTTAAAGACAGCAGGGAGCCCCTTGGGGAGTAGACAGGCATCAGTCTGCACCCGGCTTTCCATGACCCACACTCTCCAGCAGTCCTGGGGGCTCTGGCTTCTAGCAGCAAAGCAGCTTGTAGATGGCCCATCGGCCCCAGGGTCAGACAGTCTGGAGCTCTGCTCCCTTTTGCTGGTGCAGGGACCCACGGTGAGGCTGGGGGTGGGGAGGGAAGGATCATGTGGCCTTCTCTCTACTCTCGAGGAGCTGACCGCACCACATGGAGTCCTCTTGGAAGTAGCTGCGTGGGTGCCGGGCAGTATAGAGCTGCCCCCGTGAGTGCAGTGGTGCCATGCTGCTCACCCTGTGCCCCCCCCCCTTTCCTCGGCCTTATATCCATCATCTCCTTGCCTCGTACCCAGCTCCCAGCCTTTCTCACCAGGTCTCCCTAACACACAGACACTGGCATTGAATGTTGGCTCCACTGTGTGCTGGAGACCTGGGCTGAGTCCCCAGCCTGACCTCGCTGTGCCCAGCTCCGCAGCCCCTTCCTCACCGGCTGTGGGTGACGAAGAGGTGAGTTAACACCCTGCAGAGGCTCAGCTGTGGAGGCTCAGAACAGGCTGGCACAAAGAGGCCCTGGGTAAATGTAGCGGCCATTCTCATTTGTTTGTTTGTTTGATTGCCCGGACTTCTTCTGGAGCACCTTTTAAGATACCTATTTAGGGCCTCCCCGGTGGCGCAGCGGGTTGAGCGCAGCGCTGTGAAGTTGTCCACAGACTTGGCAGCGTGGGTTCGATTCCCAGCCAGCCGGTGAGAATCCCACATGGCACAGCAGACCTCTCCTGTCGCGCCCACTGCTCCCCTCAGCAGTGTACTTTGGTCTTTCTGCCCGTTCTGCTCCCTACTCTGTCTCTGGTGAATTCACTCACCCTCCCAAGCCTCTGGCCTGTACCCCAGTGCTTATATAAATAAGTAATCTTTTTTTTTTTTTTTGTGGGACCCTTGCTGACAGCCAGGGAATGAACCGGCGCTGCAGAGGCTGCGGGCAACCTCGCAGCTCAGCGTTCAACCGCTGTGCCACCAGGGGAGGCCCTAAATAAGTAATCTTAAAAAAAAAAAAAAAAAAAAAGCTACCTGTTTGTCTAGGAAAATGAATAGTTGGCTACTCTTGCCTCAGAGCTGGAGTCCCATCACCGTTGCGCCCTGTCTCTTCCATAAGGGTGGAGCCCCAGGCTGCAGACCCGGGGTTCTTTCCCTTCCAAATTCATCTTGGGGGACTTTGGGGTATTGACCTGCATGAGGGAGGTGATGCCCTTGGTCCATGGCACTTAGGGTGTCCCCACTGAGTGCCCCTGGGAGACAGTGGCACAGTGGCCCAAGTTGTGCCACTGGCAGAGGGGCCAAGGGTGTCCTTTGCAAAGCTTTTGCCCAGAAGCTGCATGTGCCAGCATGTGAGCAGCGGGCAGTGCCCCTCCAGGATGCAATTAGGGGCTGGGGACCAGGATGAAGCAGCACTTTGGGACTAGCACGGCTTCTGCATGCTGTCCCCATGGCTGGGCATTGGTGGTACTGAGTGAAGACAAAGCTTGGATTCTCTGTTATGATGAGAACCACGCAAATGGTTGCCCAGCTAAGCAACTGAGACCCCAGGTTCCTGGAGAGCCCCGTCTGGGTGTCGTTCTGCGGGGCAAGCTCCACGAGGGCAAGCTCCGTGGCCAGCACTTGGCCAGTAGGTGGAGTGCTTGTGCCCCCCAGAATTCACAGGTGAGGCCTGGTGCCCAGGCGGTGGTGTGGAGGGCTGGCTTTGGAAGGTGCTCAGGTTGTGAGCCCTCGTGAAGGGGACGAGCGCCCTTTAGAAGACCTGCAGAGGCCTCGCCCGCTCCTGCCACCTGAGGTTACAGTGAGGAGGTGATGTGAGGGAGTGGCCAGTCTGCCCGTGATTGGCCTGGGACTTCCAAAGTCCACAGAGCAGGGGAAAGTGTTTGTTGTTTGTAAGTCACTCAGAAGCTTTTTGGTTACAGCAGCCCAAAGGCAGCTACTACTACTACTCTGCTGCTGTTGCTGTTACTACTATTACTGTGGCTGCCGCTACTGTTACTACTGTTACTGCTGCTGCTACTAATATCCCTGTCATTACTGCTCCTGTTGTCACTGATGCTACTATGGCTATTACTACTGTTTCTACGGCTGCTGCTACAGAGACAGCAGGCAGTAAGGACAGGGCTGGGCTCCTGGGTTTGGCTCTCAGCCTCAGTTCTTACTACCCTCCTAGGCTGCTGCTTGTTAATTAAGCAAAGGATATTAGAGCCTCACTAGAAAATTCCAAAGTCCAGAAAACTTTCCTTGCCTAGAGTCGAGCCCACAAGATTCCCAAGATCACTTGGGAGCAGGCAGCCGGGTCCTGTCCTCTCCAGGGGGTGAGCCTCATGTGGTGGCCTGTCCTCAGGGGCGTCCTCACGCTGCCCCTCTTGATGCTTCCCTGTCCCCTCAGAACCTCCAATTTTTAGCGGCGCCCCGCCACAGCCTTTTGAGCCGGGTGGTATGTACACTGCGTGGCTGGCTTATGTAAGGAGAAGCAGCCGCCTACCGGCTGCTGCGGACCCAGCGGCCTGCTGCCATCTTTCTGAGATTCTGCAAAGCACATGTTCCCAAAGGAATGTGCTCTTGCATTTTGAGGTCAAAAGCACCCAAACCACAAGAAAGTCCACTCTCAGACTTGCCGTCCACGCAGCCTGCATTCCAGGCCAGCATCTGACCCGCAAGGAGGAGACGGGATCCAATAAAAGGGACCAAGAGAGGCAGCATTTGGTGTCATCCGAGGGGCCCACATTTATTCGCCAAAATCCACGCTTTTAACTACCCCGCGTCACCTGTGCAGCGTTAGCATCCACGAAGCAGCTACTCGCCTTGCTAACAGTGCGTCTCCGTGCAAAGGAGCAGATGACCGGTGACGCGAGGTGGATGGGCAGGTCAGTGTTCCAGCCATTTTTTAAGGGCCCTTCCCCACTTCCGACCCTGTCAGCCCAGGGTGTAGATGAGCTGTGAGTGTCCGGAGACATCGCTCCCTTCCTACCACAGAGCAGGCAGGTAAAGGCCGCCGTGGGCAGGCGGCCGCTGTGACCAGCTCCACACGTCCCAGACCCTCACCAGAACTTCTGTATGAGAAAACCCGTAATTCCTAACATCAGCTCTGGCTGCAGTTTGTTTCTCTCTAGAAAAACAAAACTTGGAAAGCGAATAGTTATTTGAGGCTATGGGCTAGGTGAGTAGCAGGCCTCAGTTTTATTTTGTAGGCTGGATTTTTCTCTCTACCCCTACCTCCCCCCACCCCTACTCCCATTTCACCTAAATTGTAAAGTCTCATTTTCCTAGAAAGTCCCCCTGAATCGTCTTTTATGA